GAAACTTGTGAAAAAAACACTCTTGGTCCTGAGTGTAGGATTGATTCAAAATGTGAGCTGAAGACTGACTCAGTAACAGTGACCATAGTATACTGAGTTTCAGTGTTCTTGCAGAAGCGAGAGAAGCCTAGCACCCCTGTATAATTGTATTCAATTTAAAAAGGCAGAATTGTATAAAAAATTAGGCAACTTGCTAAAGAGAGGATAAAAAGAAGAACTAACAGAATAAAATCTAACTTCCTTACCTGCTGCGAAGAACAAATGTGGAACTGTAAGAAAACACTTGAGGTTGTCAAGGGATGGGCCAGTATAACTAACTATGTGGGGAAGGGAAGATATTGCACATAAGAAGTCATCCTTCCAAAAACTGAAGTAATCTGACTGACACAGACATGTCAGTGTAAATTTAAAAGCACAATAAAGCAGATCCAAGAAGTCTGAGGAATAAATAGTTTAAGATATAGAAATGAATAGTAATGGTTTTAAATGCATCAGAAGCAGAATATTTGCCAAAGAATTCATAGACTTGAGATGACTAAGGCATATGATAGAGTGCTGAAATAAAGTAATGTTATAGCAGAAAGCACATTTTTCTTCTCTGCATATCTTCTCATTGAGGAAGAGCTGGGGAAAGAGACTGTTTGTGAAGAAAGTGACCAGTGATTTGTTCTGAGATCCAAAATAATTTTCTACTGGAACCTGGGGCATCTGTCTTCACTACTCTAAAGGATATATTTTTATGGATGGCGTGGTTCAATGCTGCTTAGAGGTGAAGAGGGATTTGCTGGAAGGGAAGTCATGCCCCTCAAAGTTACTGGAGCAAGAATGTGGATTTGAGTGATTGGGTTGCTAGTTGCTATGTCTTAACTTATCAGAAGGCGTGTAACCAGCTCAGGTTCATAAAGGAGCTGTGTTGCCAACGGGTAAATGTTCTGACCATTTTTCACCATGTACGTTTTGATGTAGCATAAAATAATAATAGAGTCTTGATTTTATGCCAATGAATGCCGTTTAAGTGGCTAAGTAAAATAGCTGATGTGGAGAACAGAATTAAACCATTGGAAATCACCAGTCAAGTCTTACAAAGGCATGTGCAGCTTAATGTACGCTTTGAGAAAAAGAGCAATGGCTGAAATGCTTTCAACAAAGTTTAAATGTATTATGCAGTATAACAGAGTTGAACAACTAAAAGCTTGCAAGCAGATTAGGCAGTGGAGCTTCAGCAGAAATTCAATAAACCTAGAGCAATGCAGAAGAAAAAAATTAGGGCCTCTTTGGTAATTGTTGCAACTTGGCTTGTATTTGAGTAGGTAAGTGTATAGCTCAGTAAATGTATCAACTTAGTGTTTAGTGCTAATCAAACCAAATCGAAGGTAAACAATTATCCTGGAAGTATTAGAGAACAAAACACAATCATTAAACCACTATGCAAGTCCACAGAGTGCATTACATTGTGCTCTGAATTCAGAAGAAGCGTGTCACACAAATGAACAATATTTGTGAGGGAAGATCCCAGGCTTCACTGGGGTGATTACACACTGTGAAACTAGTTTCATTTTCTAACAATTTTTAAACACCGTCTTAGGTGTTTAAACAATAGGACAAGGGGACATGGGCTCAAGCTCTGCCAGGGGAGGTTTAGGTTAGATGTTAGGAAGAAATTCTTTACAGAGAGGGTAATCAGGCATTGGAATGGCCTACCCAGAGAGGTGGTTTCACCATCCCTGGAGGTTTTTAAGCAGAGATTGGATGTGGCCCTTAGTGCCATGCTATAGTAATTGGAGTTGGATCAGGGGTTGGACTTGATGATCTTGGAGGTCTTTTCCAACCCAATCTGTTCTATGATTCTATGATTCTTATTGATGTAGCATAAAATAATATAGCCATGATTGTATGCTGATGAATGTATTCCTCTTAAGCACTTCTGGAAACTTAGTTGTGTTTAAAATCCACCTATTTTTATACAGAAATAGTTGATTTTTTTTAATTGCTTGTACTTGTGTATTTTAACACTTGTTAAAGTGTCTAAAATGTCTAAAGTGAACTCTGTGCAGCAACATTCCAAGATGAAGTTTCTTGTTTTCCCCATTGATGAGCAAATTCTCATAGTGATGGAGTTGTGCACAAGGTTTTACACAAATAAGAGACATGACCTCTGAATCCCTACATTTTCTTTTTATATATTTGTTTTCCTCCATGTACTCATTTTGTTAATAACCTTCTAGAGGTGGTTTTGAGATTTTGTGGTAGGAATTCCACCTCAAGTTCTGGCAAGCATAGCATAGATGCAGTAAGGAATCTAAAACAAAAAAAGTGAAAAAATATTTAATATGGAATCATAGAATCATTGAATCACTTAGGTTGGAAAAGAACTTTAAGATCATTGAGTCCAACGTGTAGCCCAACACATCCAAGTCTGTCACAAAACCATGTCCCTAAGTGCCACATTTACACATAGAATCATAGAATCATAGAATCATAGAATAGATTGGGTTGGAAAAGACCTCCAAGATCATCAAGTCCAACCCCTGATCCAACTCCAATTACTATATCATGGCACTAAGGGCCACATCCATTCTCTGCTTAAAAACTTCCAGGGATGGTGAATCCACCACCTCTCTGGGTAGGCTGTTCCAATGCCTGATTACCCTCTCCGTAAAGAATTTCTTCCTAACATCTAACCTAAACCTCCCCTGGCAGAGCTTGAGCCCGTGTCCCCTTGTCCTGTTGTCGGTTGCCTGGGAGAAGAGACCAACCCCCACCTGGCTATAACCTCCCTTCAGGTAGTTGTAGAGAGTGATGAGGTCACCTCTAAGCCTTCTCTTCTCCAGACTAAACAACCCCAGCTCCCTCAGCCTCTCCTCATAGGACTTGTGCTCAAGTCCCTTCACCAGCCTCGTTGCTCTTCTCTGGACCCGCTCCAGCCCCTCAATGTCCTTCCTGAACTGAGGGGCCCAGAGCTGAACACAATACTCAAGGT